TTTAGAAGCTTCCTGATTCCTAAATCAAAGAGGATTACTACATAGCTCGTCAAACATAACTTCGCATAGACAAGAAAACATTAATTGGCGTACTTACGGAAACTACTTAAAGAATCCGTGAAATCGTGTGCACGTCTTCGCTGATTGCTCATATTTGGATTCCTGAGAGAGGATTCTGTCTTATAACGATAATACTGTGAAGAGTAATTTGTTCAAGAAAGTCAGATTCGCGAAAATGTGACACCACTAACTGACTAACGGGCGAACTGAGGCGAACCAAGGCGAACTGATTCCAGAATTCCAGACGCCGGTAACTGCATGGGTAACTGAACCTCTGTTTTGAACAATCAGATATACCAACGTATCGATCACGTGATAACATAATTAATAACTACGAAGACAGAGAGAAGCCTGAGAGAGGCCGCTGGTGTAAAACACGGCCTTCATCTTTCTTTTCTCTTTTGTCGCTATAAATGCTACGAACAAAAATATATTCTAAAAAAAACCGAACTAAATTAATTGTCGAGTTGCTCTTTCTTTACAATCTTTACAAAATAATATTGAAAATTATGCACGTGTTTTTCGTAATAGCACTTTTTACACTCAAAAGTGTCGTGTAACCTTTTCGTTCTTATCGTAAGGTTGGTATCATTGGTCGCGTTCAGCAGACCAAGCCGCTCAGTAGGCGGTCGAACGTGATTGGCTCTTACTTTTAGAACCGACCAATCAACGCAGAGTGTTGATAAGACGGACTCAACAGTTGTAAAACAGTTGTGTCTGCTGAACGCGGCCATGCCGGCCATTGTTTACGCACGCCAATTGATGGTGTATTTAGGTTATGGTCCCTGGAAATAATTTCGGGCATGTAATCGTCCGGTCGACAGATTTTTCTTGCACCCGCTCACGATTTGACAGAAATGAGTCATCAGGTTCGAATCGCGCCCTAAAGGCACGTGGAATATGATGAATGAGCATTTCGGTTTGTAGGAGATTCAGGTACGGACTCCGAACCTCCGTTTGCTCCGATGAATCCAGATCAACAGGTAGCGAATACCGGTTCCCGACCGCCTACCGTGTACGATCAGAAGTATATGGATTTCGTGGAAAACGTGTTGAAGGAAGCAGCCAGCGATTTTGAGAAGGAGAAAAAATGTACGTGGTCCGTTACACTGGCTACTTGGTACAACTGTGTTTTCTCCCTACTTTTTCAATCTATAAACAAGAGTACATGCACAAGCTCCGAACTTGCTATGTAAAGACGAGAAAGAGAAATATAGAAAGAGATTAAGATTAAATAGAAAAAACTTATATTAAATAAACTTTCTTTATTTTTCACGTTTTTTTTCACTTTATTTTAAAGATTTCCTCCGATTATGACCATTTAAAATAAAAATATTAATTTTTTTAATTAAATTGTCTCTGAACAGTTGTCGACAATACCGAGAATGTTGAAAAGTGTAGTTGATGATATATAAATATTCTTTGGTCTAGTACATTTTAAACTAACAAATTATAATTTGCTAAGTATAAGTATTCGTATCTGGTGGTAAAATGAGAATTACTTTCAGTCTCTGATCAGAATCTACTGAAACTGTACAAGATATTTGATGGAACGTTTGAAAGAGCCTTAGATTTATATGAAAAACAACGAGTGACACAAATTTCCACGTCTGACACAATTATAACGGAGCCATGCAAGAATGCTAACACAGCCAGCTGGTTAATGCAAGTTAAAGGGCATTCTGGAGCATTATACACGCTTTTTCCAGAAATAAATTATTGTACTTGCGCTGCCTTCAGGTATAACGCCCCTGCACGAATAAATTATTTACTCAAAAGATAGCATGATTATATTTTCTAAAATTTTACTAATAATTTTAATAATATCTTGCAACGTTACAGACATCAGGTTCTAACAGATCGGTCTGCTTTCACTTGTAAACACGTTTTGGCAGCTTGGCTAGTCAGTGTTGACAAAGAGAAGTTGTTGCACCAACAATTAACGCAGAAACAGTTCAACAGTTTACTGTTATATCAGGGTTCAAACAAACGTGATGCTCTCTAACGTGGAAGACTATGCGTTGGTTGCAAAAGTGGGATTGTCGAATCTAAAGATTGTAACACAATTATTGAAAGCTATCAACTTTAAGGAGGTACTTGGGATCTGCTTATATTAGAATGTACATATCTGTTTTTTTTCTTCTTGTAATTATGAGAAACGTATGATATTATTTAGACAGCTACTTGCCTCGGCAGTGAAAACGGATTAAAAATCACAGTCGAAGACGCGAAATGTATGCAAGCCAGTGCATACATCCCATCTACAGTTTTCGATGAATTTGAATTGAAAGAGGATGTGACATTCTCATTGAGTTTAAACATATTGGTGGAGTGTCTTTGTATGTTCTGGCCTACTTCGCAAGAGGATTCCGTCAACGTGCAAATATTTTACAAAGTAAACTTGACATTTCAGTAAAATCAAGATAATGTTCGTCTATTTTAGATAAATTTAGGTCCCAAAACAAAAAGATTCGATATATAAATTTTTAGATTTTATTTTCTGAGTTATATTAAATTAAGGAAAATATTTTAAACACTGCATGCTACTGTTTAATGTTAAGGCAATATCATATCGTTATCCGTTATAGGGCACAGGCTATCCTGTAAGCGTTATCATTGAAGAAGACGGTGTCATAACAGACTGTTCGTTAAAAACTTTGGAAGTAGACGCATTGTTAGACTTTCATCTTGAGGCAGAAAACGTTGTAAATAAAGTAGTATTACGAACAGAATTATTGAAGGATGTCATGGCCGAGTTAGATCCAACTAGCGAACTAGTCGAGGTATAATGAGCGATTTCAATTCGAGCTTTAAGATAGAGATTTGCATTCGGCAGTCAGACTCTTCTTTGAAATACAACGTTTACATTCTAGTTGCGTTTATCGCCGGAAGAACCCTACTTCAGAATTAGCACGGAAGGTCTAGGTGGCATTTGTCATATCGACTTGCCGCGCGATAGCGATTTAATAGACACTTTTCAGTGTACATCGACGGCAACATCCAATTTCAAATTAGCGCATATTAAACCGGCGATGAAAGCGTTATCATGCGCTAACAAGGTTTCGTTAAGAACCAATAACGCCGGCCTGTTGTGTTTTCAATATATGATTAAAACCGAAAATGGGCACACCTGTTATATGGAATATTACGTAAGGCTTTTCATAATAAATTGTACAATTGAATCGTTAATTTGGAACTAATTAGTTTTTATAAAATGTATTTTGTATAATTAATTATACTTTATGATACAATATCGGGCACACGATATTTTAAGAATTTGTATATTTCATTTACAGATTTCTCCATTAATAGATATGGATGTTTGCTGAAATAGCCATGAACGGTTAAACAGTGTGATGATACGGACGTATCAAATCAGAAATAAAATATGTCCAGCTGCCCACGTATGTGTATAAATCTATGTATAAAAATTAGTTTAACAAACACCTAAATATATCTTTATATATTTAATAAATTCATACTTAGTTTTCATGTTAAACAATTTTTATTCAATAAACACCTAAACATATTTGTACATATTTTTACTGACGCTTTCTTTCATTTCTTTTACATGTCTTTGTGACGCTTTTTAAATAGTGAGAGAATTTTATCTCATTACACACATATCGTTTACAAAAAAAAATTAGAAGTTAGGAATCGGGAAACTTTTAATAAAAACACATATATTTCCATTAATCATTATTATTCGTAGAAAAAAGCAAACATTCATAAAATAGGTGATACAGCGACTGCTGTATGTGGAACATAATTAGCTGACGGTATTACATATTTCATTACGTAATCCGCGAGATATGAATAGAAATATCTGTATATGAATCTGTGCACAACAGATGACTACTTTATACTTCGGTTCTCATACGATACATTTTACGAACGCATGCATATCAAATATACGAATTTTAATTTCGTAGAAAACATATGTACGGTAATTTTTGTAAAATTACACTTCAACGTAAATGATATTTAGTTTATACATATATATATAATATAATCTGACGCTATATATCAGCATATATCTCATACATTGGAAGTAATGCAAATTCCACTTCCCGGCGTCCCCCAACACTCGAGGAAGGCCTAGAGGGGTTTTAGCCGGTAAGAATCCGGCATACCCCTCCGTCCTTCCCCGAGAGTCGAGAGGACTTATGAAGGTTCTCCCGTTAACAAAAAAAAGCATATATCTCATTCACGTTCAAGCGAAATTTCGATAATTTACAAGTCGTTGGAATGCTTCTAGGAGCACCTTGTGCACGTCTTCAGCTTTGGTACTGAACTCTTATTCCTGAACCTTGTATACCCTCGTGCAGACTATGTCATCGACCTTCATAATCTGCAACAGAAATAGCACGATACCAGTTTAATATTTGATAGCGCGATAGACCTCGCCGTAACAGTAATCTCTCGGAATTAATAATAGCGGGTTTCTATAAGTACGAGAGAGAGAAAGAGTGCGGGAATTATTCCTGCGCCGGTGTCTCACGGTATTAACACGTATCGCCAGACGGATCAATGGATCTTTATTGGCACCGTTTCGGAGCTCGGTGCTGTAGAATTGTACGTGTCACGAACAGGAGGAGCGCACGCGATAATTGGCCGGACATTTGACGAATCATTATAACATTAACCGCTCGTGCAACGATCCCTCGGCGCGACGTTCCTCCACGTAGCTTTTATACTTTAATCGGGCAACTCCTGTGCCCGCATCAGGCCAGACGAATCAAAGTTCAAGTGTTTAGAGAGGAAGGATGCGTGTATGTACGCACGCACGAGTGACAAATGCATCTTCTAGCACGATTAACCACGTCATTCCTATAACTCATGTTCTGTTACATATCGTTCGAGTTCGCAGGCTGGATGAAGCATTTAAAGCGATAGACGTCACGCGAACATAATAATGAAAATCGCTCGGTTTAAAGAAGAAATATACAACCATGAGAACAATTCTTCTCAGGATTTATCAATTTAGTTAATCTTCCAGCGATTAAAGTATATGTAATGTTTAAAGCGTACCGTTGTAAATTGCGCATCGTGTGTATTTAATGTTAATGATGTTTCTATTCGTTCTTAAGAAATGCAGACACAAGATTGCTAGTCGGACGCAAGTTTATTATATAAGACATGTCTATAGAAACACGAGATATTTCTCGCTAGTGTTTACCTAACTGAAGGGCAGCGTAGCGTTACCTTGCTACTAACTTTTAATCGTATGTTAATAATAAATGGTCACATAGCTTGACCGTTAAGGCTTGTTATCGATTTGCGGATAAAGTATTACAAAATCGAGATTAATTTAAATATCAGCAATATTACGAGTCGCTCAAGTTATTCATTAAAAAGCCGCTAAATTTTTAGTTCGCTCCAAGCAACGTAATATTTATATAAATCGTAGAAATCTCTTATTTTAATCATCTTTATCGCGCGCGACTATACGAGCAAATTAATTCTTCTAAGAATCTTATAAAAACGTGCTTACCGCCTTCATCTCTGTGGGACTGAATTCCCTCTCGATCGTGGTGTCCTTCTCGCCTTTTTGCACCTGCACAAGTTTGTTACCGTCCAGAGTACAGACGCTCTTCACCTTCCTGCCGTCCACGGTCTCCTCGTCGAACTCCTCACCAAGCTTGAACTTTATCTCGGTGTTTTTGAAGGGGCTGGTCGTTTTCAGCGTATACAATCCGTCTTTCTCCGTTAGTTCGACGACGGGGCTGACGGTGCTGCCCATTTTACGGGTCACCATACCCACGCCTGAAAGAAAGCGCAAGCTGTTTTAAAAATCGCGCTACGCTTCTTTTCAGCTCCTCTGAAATTCTAATCTCGCCCAGATGGCAAAACGTGAATGTGGAAAATTATGAAAACATGTTTCTGAAAACAATTTACGTATTGTTGCCACAAACATTACGTAAACACGAATCATAGCTCCGTCTAGGATTTATACTTATGGTGCTTTTACAGCAAAGATGTAAATTGTTTCCATCAATAATGAACTGTACATCAATGGAACTTCCGGAAGTAAACTATTGCTAAAAAATGTAACGATTATGGAATTAAAAAAACCGTTACTTGAAACAAATTCAGTACTATTGCTGAGTACTCACAAACGCAGCTTTACATGTAACATTTGCGCAAAATACATTTCATTAATCTGACAGGCGTTTTGCTATCTGGGCGGATATATTTATATCACGCAGAGATGGCTCATTTCCTCGCGTTTATTAATTGCCATTGAAACATTCATGGTTCGAAATCTAATTGCTAGTTATCCTTGAAAGAGAAACGTTACCCGGAACTCTATTCATTTGCTTACAAGTTCGTAAGTTGCTACTTAAATTCGGTGACGGAATACAAACACGAGTATCCTAAGTAAAGAGGAATATAAAATTACGCTTCTCGGGTAATTAGCGAGAAGCGTCCACTGTGATGTTTTAAATTATCAGGCTCGATTAAGATAATTTCGAAATCACATATCTATCGAAGTCCCACTCGAAGTTAAATGCGAAATGAATATTTTATCTGCCGGCACTTCTGAAACTCGTCTCTCGGGAAGCACTTGGTCTCCTATCGGTACGATCCGAAGCCCATCGACATTCAGAAAAAAATCAATCCCTGGTCAAAAGATGGATTGATCCATATGCGAGAAAAAATATATACACATATGTTCCGGTGAAGCCGGATCTATTGATCAGGAATCGATTTTCTCTGATGAAAAAAGATTTATGCGTCTTCGTCTCACCTAAAGCTTTCATGTACTCGTCGAACTTTTCGCTCGATTGGAGCTTGTAACGCTTGCCCAGGAGACCGGTTAGTATTTCCGACGACATCGTTCGATCTATCACCGACAACTGCGGGAACGGGACTGACTAGCGACCCGACCGGTTTGCATGCCTTATGCTCGCTTCGGCCATTGATTAGACTTTATATCGTATATAGGTAGGACGAGTTTATCGTCATACAGCGGAACTCGGTTCCGCGTTGAAAACAGTGACGAGAGAAGTAAACTTTGAAGTTTGACCCACCCGTTCGTGCTATTTATAGACACCGCGAATTATCATCCGAAATGACATCACATTAGCGTATATATGAATTACGGCCGCCCCGATGATATTCTCTCATTGTCAGTGGAGATTCTCAAGGTAAAAATCTTCTTTTTGCAGCAAGATATTTTTTTTAAATTATATAAAATAGGACAGGACTTTTGTATTAAAGCCGATCCAGCTGACATTTTCGCAAGTAATGATTTGCATCAATCGAAAAATACACATTTATCGCGAAATGTCAGAGTCTATTCGTCATCTTGGATGATCAATTACAACGTTTATTTGAATAACAAATTAATCACGTTTTTTTTTAGGAGACCAATTGTCTGCTCTCTGCAAGGGCGGAGGAAGTAATTATCTTAGCCCGGTTTAAACCGATTCAATTAAAGGTTTCATGATTCGCGATCGCGCTTGACGACGAACGTGGAAAACGTTCCTTCAAGTGACCTCGAAAGAAAAAAAAAGTGAAGATACTCTTATCTCGCCGCCGTGGATGATAACGAAATTACAGGTTTGCGTTTGAGTCATGCAAGTGTTGCTTATCGATCTCACCCGCGCCACCTCGGCTTCTCGGAAAAAGTGCCGAACGCCATCACAACATTCCACCGACGTAACCGGCAACGCGTCGGAAGACGATGCGTCTAGACTTGCTCTCTTATTTAATTTCCGGCGAACTGTTCTCCCGAAGATTACCGTAACGACGTCGAGCGGGGGAGTGGGAAACGTTGATCCGTCCGTCAACGGTTCTGCCTGCCTGCACCGACTTGCCTCGTGCCGACGTACAATTTGCGATTCTACCTCCCAGTAAACCCCGAGCACCAGTTACGTCACATTTATGTTATCATTTCTCACTCACCATATAAATGCAATATAATACACATGTTGTGTTGCATTTACAATTTTCAGTGAGAAATTATTACATAGATGTAATGCAATTGATGCTTGGTGTTTACTGCAATGGGCTTGTCCCAAGCCTTATAACACTTGAACTTTTGGAGACTTTGACATCGAGTAAGAATTCTTGAGCAAACCCATGGACCCGAGCTCAATATACTATACAGACACTCTCGCACATGTCATATATACACCCATACATACACATTTTTGTAAATAATAGCAATAACTACTTGAGGAAAAGAAGAAGCAAAATACAACCTGATTTAAATAACAGACTCCTAATGTCGACTTATTTGATAAATAAAACAGTATAGCGAAAGCTTCTTTCTTATTTATATCTCGTAATTAAAAAATAATTAATAGATTAGCATCTGCGGATAAAATTAAAATAGTAGAGCAAAAGAGAAACATAGAGATTATATGCGTCGTTATCTAGTTCTTCAGTTTATCTGAAGTTAATAAACATCAGATAAGCGGATAAAATTATCAGTCTCGATGAAACCATTAACAGAGTTTTCCTTTCCTCTCAATATTAATTGGAAAAAAAAACCAAGTGTTTGTGTCCAAAGGTGTTTCTGCTTCCAGGAACGGAATCTATACGCGATTTCTGTTATTTACAAAAGGATAACACATGGTAGACTCGCTAATTTTATATCGGCACGAATGCTGAACGCGCGCTCGCGTGATTCGACTGATAATTACGGGATTTTTTTCAATTTATTAATTCCGTTGATGAATTAATTCAAGTGTTGAATTAGACCGCAATCAGGCAGACCGCGGCACACGGTCGGAATTAAGATCCAGGTCAGGTCGTTGGACGGAGGCGAGGAGGCGTATATAATTTAACGTATTAAAATTGATTAATGTCCCGGGCCTCATTGATATCTCGCTAATGCACAAACGAGTTTAGCAGCTAATTAACCAATTAGACGTACGAAAGTGTTCGGTAGGCGGAAGTTACCTACATCGAATTTACGTTTATACTTTCAGGCGATTGTTCACAAATTGAGTAACGAAACTATACAGGTCGCTGAATTATACAAATCTCTCTTGATCATCTGTCAAAATCGGTGTTATTTTCTCCCTCTCTCTCTCTCGTCGGTACTATTTCTATTCTTTGAAGCGCCCCCCTCCCCTCTCTGAAATTCCGTGAATGAAGTTGTTAGTGTCTTCGAGGACTTCTCTCATGTTTACCCCGCAACTTTTCACGTGCACTTTCCACATATTAGTCACGGGCGGGGTGTTTGTTCACGGTTCGTACACGCACATGAAATTGCCGATGGTGCCGGCTCGCCACGCGAGCGGAACGCGCAAACGAAGCTAACGACAGATCTCATTACGATAATAATACAGCTTGCTGTAATATGTGTAATCGTTTGCTGCTATGCTGCTACTGTAAGAGAGCAATTTACGTTGCGCAGCGCCGTATACGTATACGTTGCCCGAGGATTCCTTTTGCGTTTTACGATATGTCATTGTTTTACTACACAAAACTCTTAATGGTTTTCTCACTTATATTTATAGTTATTTTTCCTAAAATTTGTAACGGTAGGTTTGGAGATTCCTCAGAGATTTATGTTGCTAATTGAGATTATCCAAAGCGATTTAGGCAATTTATGACTTCCCAGGAAAAGATTCTCCATATATAATTACATTAAAAATACGTTCATGTTTTTTCTTGTATATGTGATTCTTGTATAAGTATTTCTTTATTTGTCTTATACATACAAACAGAGATTATTCAAGAGAAAAAAAATATATAGACATGTCGGACATATCTTAT